CCCCAAACATTAAAATATGAAAATCCAACCACAGATACGTTCTAGAATTCATTACAAATCCAACATTTTATACTGGGCCCTTTGCACCACAATAAAGAGTGTTCTGGGCTGGGAAAGGAGCTTTCAGAAATTGAAAGAAAGGCAGAAGGCAGATCTTCAGTCACTTCCAAGAAAAAGTCTGCAGATTCCCAGAGGCTCTTGGGCTCTGCTTTTCCTGCCAGCAGCACTTTAAGTGATTCTGAATTTCGTTGCTGTACATGTAGGAATTGTGGGGTTTTTTTAACTGTCCTTAAGGGGAATTCCTGCTCTTTTAACATGGAATATCCTGGGATTTGAAGGGAGGTTTGCACTTAAAAACAGTAGCCTGGGATTTTGAAACCTGGGGCTTGGAAACCCAAAATAACAGAATAGCTTCTGCGTGCTGGCTCGGGTCAGGAAACAGAAAGAAATGCAGGGAAATCTGCTGCTGGCCAATCCAGGAGCTTCCAACATCGCTCATCTGAGGGTCTGGGAGCTCTGTCCTGCTGCTCCCAGGTCCATGCCTGGTGCTCTGGGATGGGCTCTGGGTCCTGCCATGGGATGGGCTCTGGATGCTGCCATGGGATGGGCTCTGGATGGGCTCTGGTTGGCCTCTGGATGGGCTGTGGATGGTGCCATGGGATGGGATCTGGGATGGTCTCTGGATGCTGCCATGGGATGGGATCTGGATGGGCTCTGGGATGGGCTCTAGATGGGCTCTGGATGCTGCTCTGGATGGGCTCTGGGTGCTGCCATGGGATGGGCTCTGGATGGGCTCTGGATGCTGCCATGGGATGGTCTCTGGAATGGGCTCTGGGATGGTCTCTAGATGCTGCTCTGGGTCCTGTCATGGGATGGGCTCTGGTTCTGCCATGGGATGGGCTCTGGATGCTGCTCTGGGATGGGCTGTGGATGCTGCCATGGGATGAGTTCTGGATGCTGCCATGGGATGAGTTCTGGGTCCTGCCATGGGATGAGTTCTGGGTGCTGCTCTGGGACAGGCTCTGGATGCTCCTCTGGATGGGCTCTGGGTGCTGCCATGGGATGGGCTGAGTGCCACAGCCACTCCCTGTGTTTGTCACCGCCGTGTCCCCGCTCTGGTGCTCCCTCCTGGCCCCAGCAGGGGTGACAGTCCCAGCCTGGGTTTGGCGGCTGCTGGGGAGCCCTTGGGTGTTTTCTTTTTATAGGAACGACCGAAATAGCTCCAGGCTGTGTTTGGGTGTGCAGTCAGATCAGGTTCCCCGGTCACATGGCGGGGATGAGGAGCGGCTCTGACAGGCTGGAAAAGAGAGGGGGCCCAGGATGGTGGGTGGGGATGGCAGAGGTGGGGCTGGGGGGCTGAGGCACCACAGCTCTGCACCCACTGAGCACCAGCTGAGCTCTGTGGGAACCCAGCACATCCTCTGGCTGTCCAGAACAGCCAGGACCCCTGCCAGGGGGCTCAGAAGCACAAAACACCTGTGGGTTTGATTATGACCCATGGAGCAAATTACCAGCCTTAGATGAAAATCAGCAAGCCACAACAGTTTAGGTAGAATAGTAGTGAATTTATCACAGGGTGAAAAATAGATTTTGGGGTTTTTAGAATGGGGGTTCAGGGGGCAAGATGGAGGGAACTGGGTGTGTCCAGCCTTTCTCCTTCTTCTCCTTCTTGGCCTCCATCTTCTGCTGTGATGGTGGCACTTGCAGATTGGTTTAGAGTAGAAGCTCACTGTCTAACATGGGTGATAGGTATTGGGAAGTAATTGTAAATATTGTACAGGTAGTTTTTAGTATAAAGACATAACACTGCCACAGGGGCAGGCAGAGTGCCTGGACTGTCTTGCTGAGCTGACCTCAGCAGGCCAGGAGAAAATTTTTTATAGATAAGAAACAATAAACAACCTTGAGACTGAGAAATGAAGAGCTCCATTCATTCTTCAACAGCCAGGCTGGGAAAAGAGACTTTTAACATTTCTCGACCAGCAAAAGATCCTGAGAATGGCGAGGCACAGCCAGAGCAGGGCAGTCCCAGCCCCTGGTGCTCCCTGGCTGCTCCAGGAGAGTCCCCAAACTCCTGGCACTGGCACGGGTGCCACAGAGTCCTCTGCCTGGGCACCTGAGTGGGCAGCACTGGCCATGGGCAGTTCCAGCTCCTCCCCAGCTGCTGCTCCACCATCCACCCCACGTCAGAGCTGAGCCACACTAACATATCTGAGCGTCCCATGCCATGGTGGCCTCTGCCATGCTAACACATCTGAGTGTCCCGTGCCATGGTGGCCTCTGCCACCCCTCACAGTGCAGATCCGTGCCATGCTGTGTAGCAGCCTGAATAGCTGCTAGTATAGTAAGGAAATTATATATATATATATATATTTATATATATATTTATATATATATAAATATTTATTATATATAAAATGTAAATATAATATAATATAATATAATATAATATAATATATGTAATATATTATATATATATATATATTTATATATAGTATATATATAAAAATATATAGTAAGGAAACAAAAAGGATCTTTGCATAATATCCACAGGTGTTTTATTTGGCCACATGGTGAGATGTTCCAATCTTGACACCAACACACAGAGGGTCTGGCTTACTGTCCTGGTTCAGGCAAAATTTGGGAGAGAACACCCAAAGGGGCTCCTCTAGGAAAGCAGATTCATTTGGCCCCTCCCCACAACTGGTTCGGGAGAAAATACCTCCTTGGAAAAAAAATTAAATAATAATTATTTTTTATTTAAAATAAATGTATTTGTTTATTAAATAATAAAACCTAAATAATATTGAACAATAAAACCCCTTGCTGCTCCAAAAGAGATGACAAACGCAGAAAGACCCCATCCCCAGGNCGAGGGGCTGCAGCTCAGCCTTGGGGAGTGCCCAGCTCCTGCCAGGCTGCCAGTGCTGCTGGGCACGAGGCACAAACTCCTTCCAGATCCCTGCCCAGGGCTCCAGCCTCCCAAAGCTGGCAGCTGCAGGGGCATTCGGCTCTGCTCTGCAGCACTGGCAGGGCAATGCTGGAGGGTTTGGGGTGCTGCTGCTGCTCCCCAACCCTGGAAAGGCAATGCTGGAGGGTTTTGGGGTGCTGATAGTGCACCCCAGCCCTGGCAGGGCAATGCTGGAGGTTTTGGGGTGCAGATGCTGCTCTCCAGGCAATGCTGCAGGCTGGAGGGTTTTGGGAGGCTGATGCTGCTCCCCAGCCCTGGCAGGGCAATGCTGGAGGTTTTGGGGTGCTGATACTGCTGATACTGCATGCAAAACCTGGTAGGGCAATGCTGGAGCGTTTTGGGGTGCTGATGATGCTCTCCAGCCCTGGAAGGAAAATGCTGCAGGGTGGAGGGTTTTGGGCTGCTGCTGCACCCCAGCCCTGGCAAGGCAATGCTGGAGGGTTTTGGGGTGCTGATGCTGCTCCCCAGCTGGTACAGGGCTGGCAACCCAGGCAATGCTGCAGGCTGGAGGGTTTTGGGGGGCTGATGCTGCTCCCCAGCCCTGGCAGGGCAATGCTGGAGGTTTTGGGGTGCTGCTGCTGCACCCCAGTGGATGCAGGGCAATGCTGGAGGGTTTGGGGTGCTGCTGCTGCACCCCAGCCCTGGCAGGGCAATGCTGGAGCGTTTTGGGGTGCTGATGATGATCTCCAGCCCTGGCAGGGCAATGCTGGAGGGCTTTGGGGTGCTGATACTGCACCCAAAACCTGGCAGGGCAATGCTGCAGAGTTTTGGGGTGTTGATGATGCTCTCCAGCCCTGGAAGGAAAATGCTGCAGGGTGGAGGGTTTTGGGGTGCTGCTGTGGCATCCCAGGCAATGCTGCAGGCTGGAGGGTTTTGGGGTGCAGATGCTGCTCTCCAGGCAATACTGCAGGCTGGATGGTTTTGGGGTGCTGCTGCTGCACCCCAGCTGATGCAGAGCAATGCTGGAGGGTTTGGGGTCTGATGCTGCACCCCAGACAATGCTGCAGGTTGTTGGAGGATTTTGGGGTGCTGCTGCTGCACCCCAGCTGGTGCTGATGTCAAGCAGGGCAGGTGGGTGGCTGCAGAGAGGAGGAAGTGGTGCTTTGGGATCCTGTTTTGGGGTTCTCACTCAGCTTGGGAAGGGGAAGGGGAAGGGAGAAAGTTCCACAGTGAGGGCTGCAGGCTCCAGCCAGGCCAGGCTCCCTGCAGGGGAAATTCCAAGGGGGAAATGCCACAGAGCAGAATTTGTGGGTGCTGGGGACGGGGGGGGACACACCCAGAGAGCCTGGGGACACGGCTGCACCCCAAAGTGCTCCAGGGACCCCCAAATCCACAACATGGGAAGCCAGAGCCAGCAGCACTCAAGTGGGAGGGCTGAGACAGGAATGGGGGTGTAGGGATGGGGTCTGGGGGTCTGGGGGTGCAGGGATAGGGTTTGGGGGTGCACGGATGGGGTCTGGGGGTGCAGATACGGGGTATGGGGGTGCAGGGATGGGGTGTGAGTCTGGAGGTGCAGGAATAGGGTTTGGGGGTGCAGGGATGGGGTGTGGGGTGCAAGGATGGGTCTGGGGGTGCAGGAATAGGGTTTGGGGGTGCAGGGATGGGGTGTGGGGTGAAGGGATGTGATGTGGGTATGGGGGTGTAGGGATGGGGTGTGGGGATGTGATGCAGGGATAGATTGTGGGTAGGGGGGTGCCGATATGGGGTGTGGTGTGGGATACAGGGGGCTCTGGATCTGGAGGTGTTGAGATGGGGGTGCAGGGACTTACTGACGAAAGCTGAGAGCACAACTGGGCTGAGGGACCCCAGTGTTGTTCTGGGGGCACAGGAACGCGTCAGGAGAGGATGTAACCCACATCATGGGGGGCAGAGGGGTGTCCCTGCCCCTCCTGGGGGTGCAGGCTCGGTGCTGTGTGGGGTGAGGGGAGGCAGAGCCCCCTCCGTGCCCATGTCCGTCAGTCCGTCCGTCCGGCTCTGTCTGTGCGGGGGGGTTTGGNTGGGTCCTGACACCCTATGGTCCCTGGGGTGAGGTTCAGCCCTGCTTCACCCTAGGGGCAGGAGGTGAATGGGACAAGCTGCAGAGGGTTCTGAGGGTCTCTGCTCTGTCTCACAGGACCAGGCCATGGGGAACTGGCAGATCAAGAGGCAGAATGGGGATGATCCCCCCCTCACCTACCGCTTCCCCCCGAAGTTCACCCTCAAGGCTGGCCAGGTGGTCACGGTGAGTCCCTGCCTGGTGGAGGATCCAGGCAAGATCCCAAACCCTGCCAGGCCACTTACACGGAATGGTTGGTGTGTGGTGATAGACACACCAGAGAAGTCACTTTTCTCCTGCTTTTCTCCCTAGATCTGGGCCTCGGGAGCTGGAGCAACCCACAGCCCCCCCAGCAACTTGGTGTGGAAAGCCCAGAGCAGCTGGGGCTCCGGGGACAGCCTGCGCACCGCCCTCATCAACTCCAACGGGGAGGTGAGAGCCCCTGGCAGCTCTGGCACACAGGGAGGGGGGTGACAGGCTCTGAACCTCCCAACTGACCCCCTGTCCCCTGCAGGAGGTGGCCATGAGGAAACTGGTGCGCACGGTGATCATCAATGACGATGAAGATGAGGACGATGATGAAATGAGCATCCACCACCGCCACCACCACGTGAGTAGGGCCCCGAGTAGGGGATGCTGCTGGTTTCGAGGGGATGCAGCTCCAGGCAGGATGGGAGGGAGCTCAGAGCAGGATCAGGCATACAGGAGAAGGCAGTGGGGAGGCTGCTGTGGAAACAGCAGCATCAGAGAAGCCCTCAGACCTCTGGCATCTGGAGGAGATTGCTGCTCACTAAAAAAGCTCTGAAAACCTTGCTAGAAGTTGTCTCCAACCCTAAAGAACCCTGATGTGCCATGAAAAGGGCCAGAAGAGTCAGAGGGAGGCTGAGCATTGCTTGGAGGATAGGATGGTGGGAAGGTGATGGATGACACTTTTTGTCAGCAGCTGCTCTGTCCTCTCTGCTTCATGAGGGTGCTGGAACAAATCCAGAGGTGGCTTTGTCCTTCCTCTCAGCCCATTTTTCCCCATGTGGAGCTGCAATATGCACCAGGAGGATCAGCAGGCAGTGGACAGGGAGCAGGCAGCATGCCAGGGCCAGAGCTGCAGCCTCTTCTCCCAGAGAAAAACAAGGTGCCCACAGGAATCACGTGCAAAGAGGCACCATTGTGGCCAAGCTGTGCCTCAGTGAGGGTGGAAGATCATCTAGATGTCACTTCCAGGAGCAATTTGGGGCATCCATCATCCACTCCCCTCTGAGTTCTCTGGATCTGAAGAGCTGTGCTGAGATTGACACCAGCACGTTGAACTGGTGGATTGTTCTCCTCTACTCTGCCCTTGTGAGACCCACCTGCAGTGCAGGGTCCAGTTCTCAGCCCCCAGCACAAGAAGGACAGGGAATTTTTGCTGGAGCAAGTCCAGAAGTAGCCATGAGGATGCTCTGAGGGCTGGAGTCTCTCTGCTGTGAGGCAGGCTGGAGGAGCTGGGGGCAGCCTGGGGAAAAGAAAACTTCAGGGAGAGCTTAGAACTCCTTCCAGGGCCTAAAGAGGCTCCTGGAAGCTGGAGAGGGACTTTGGATAAGGGTCTGGAGTGACAGGACATGGGAGAATGGCTTCCCACTGACAGTTAGAGGGCAGAGTTAGATGGGGTATTGGAAGGAATTGTTCCCTGTGAGGGTGGTGAGGCCCTGGCACAGGTTATCCAGGAAAGCTGTGGCTGCCCCATCCCTGGAAGTGTTCCAGGCCAGGCTGGACAGGGTTAGAGTGACCTGGTTTAGTGGAAGATGTCCTGCCCATGGCAGGAGGCTGGAATGAGATGAGCTGTCAAGTCCATTCCAACCCAAACCATTCCATGATTCTGTGATTCTCCTCTGTATTGACCATCCCTGGGCAGAGGAGCCAAGTTCCTGCAGCCACTGCTGCCCATTCCAGGAGGCTGAATCCTTTCCAGGAGCAAACTTCCCATAGGAGAGCTGCCAGCTCACGAGGTGGTGAGGAAGAGGATGTTTTCAGGAGCACAGTTCAGGTGTCTCCCATGTGCTGAGAGCTCAGGGCAGCAGGGCAGGTCACCCACTGGCAGCGTGCTGGCCCCAGTTCACTTGGGATTAGAAACACAGTAATTGAATAGTATTTATTATTAATTAAATATTATTTAAATAAATAATATAATAAATAAGGATAAATTTATATTATATTATA